GATTCGTAATGACTCTCAAAAACAGCACAGAGACGCGGCTCAGAAGGAATATCTGTCTGTAGTTCTTCAAGAGGGCGTTGTCACCTTTCTTGAAAAACAAGACCACCGCATTTCTGCTCCACGCCTCCGGAGTAGTGCCACCATGGAGGACGGAATTAAAGAGCCTCTGAAGGACTTCATGTAACGGTTTTCCACCCGCTTTCAGAAGGTCTGCTGTAATTCCATCCTCGCCCGGGGACTTTCCATTTTTAAGGTGCTGAGAGCCATTCTAATCTCGCTAACAGTGACGTCCGGGATATCATCGGAATAGTGTTGGATAAGACTTGCTCTTGGATCGTTACTCACACTTGCGTGTGTCTCCAACGATGATGTGTACAGCTGCCCATACAATCCCTCTATCTCACTCAGAATCTCAGGTGTCCCGGAAACGATGCTGCCATACTCAGTCTTCAGCTTTGACAGTTGGCTCGTACTGGCAAACAGATCTCTGGAAAAACTTTGGAGCCCTGGTTCCGCTCGATCGCTTCTTCAATACGAGCAGTATTGAAGTTGTGCAAGTCTCGCCGCATGCATTTGGAGATCTTTCTGCTCAGTTGCCTGTATGCTGTCAAATCTGTTGACGATTACAGCCTCATCTCTCGTCTAACATCCATGAGATTAAGAGTGTGATCGGAGAGTTTTTGTGTAGGAAGTGGGCATCAGTATTCTCTTAATAAAAACTTAGAAATAAAAAGTGAGTTGTGATGAAGATGACGATGATGATGATAAAATGATCCCATCCAACTCGTTAGACATTGTTCTGTTCTGTTCGGCTAGCGGCGTGATAAGTTTTACTACGAATTTCATCAGGAATTTTTACAGTGTTAATATAAAATTAACTCTTCTAAAATGTTCGGAGTGAAACTCATCGCTTCACCCACCGAAAATGACAGTGTGTCAAGTCAGCTCATGTTAAAGAAAATCCTGTATGTAAAAAAGAACAAAGTTTTTTATTTGATTCTCATTTTGTTATCGCTGCAAAGTAGGGTTGTAAATTTTCTTATTGTTTAAAATACTTTGTCATAATAAAAGTCATGCAACTTGGATAGTAAGGAAGATAAATGCCTTTTTCTATTTCCATACCAATCTTTATTTAAAAGCGTAGCTTAACTTACATTTATTTAAGCGGATAAAATTTATTCAAAATTATATTTATTCGAAATCATATTACTAATTAAGCTTTCTGTGTTCTGTTTAAAAGATTATTATTAATGATTTGAATATTTTTTTTAATTAAGATTACTTGTTTCAAATCTTAATGACACACAAGCGATTTTTGCCCGGTGAGAAATATATTTTGCTCTTGCATGATTATGAGGTAATGATGTCTTGAAGTGGGATGTTACAGGTATTTATTATATCTTGCCCTATTACAATCTCTCTCAATCTTGCTATTGGTCTTACGATTAAAATGATGCTCACGGATGCAGAAATATTTTCTTAAATAAGAATCGAAATGCAGGGCCAAGTTGGAATAATTTGTTACTAGCATAGAGAGCCGACGTGTTACGTCACACTTAATACAGCAGCAGAATAGTATAACCGACCGGTTACAGAGAGTCTTGGTTGCTCAAGGGCAAAGCGCTCGTCCTAAATTAGTTTCCCATCGGGTGCAATTTTAAGTGCTGATATTCTGTGTTCAGCGGTGAAGGGAAACATGGTGAAGAAACGAAACGAAACGAAAGAAAAGAATCATATCTGAGGATTATAATAGTTAATTAAATACAATTCAATTATAAATATCACAGTAATCTAAAGAAAACTAAAAGCGATTGCCTAGTAGTTTTCATTAGTATTACAATTTAAAATAATGCACTGTTCAATAATTAATAGTATAAAACATATTTGTAGGTACTTCAGCATTTATGGGTATTTTAAGATTGAAGGAAAATTCTTTTAGTATTTTTGAAAAAACATAGTGCACAGACAAACAAACGTGGTGTGGAAATTATTTTTACATGTATTGATTGATACTCAGTAGTATTAATCCCAAACACAATTACAGTAATTAAAGATATATGATTAAAACCAAGATAACTATGGAATAATTTGTCCATTTATAATATTACCTATACACTATATGATGAAGATAATGAGAAAGATGTTTTATACTGGTTGTGTAAGGATAAAAACAAATAGTAAAATAGCACATGCAATTAACGTAACGTATTTATTATTATTTTTGGTTCTTTATTTTTTTACGTGGTAGAGTCAAGCTGTAGCTATATCATGGTTGTAGCACAAATAAGTTAGCTTAACCGGGGAAGGACCACGATCCCACAGAATACCAATGTAAAATAGCAACTAAATGTTGCTGTCAAACTAAATGGGGTACAACGCATCTGTGCTTTGATTCTTAATCGAGGATAAATATAGATGTTTATGGGTCACAGCATCCACTAACCATCAAGTGGACTGTGTTCTCGTTTGTCACCTATATACCATAAAAAAGTAGAACAAACAGTCAGATGTGGTGTGGAATTTTTTTTTATATAATATGAATTGATTGATTGCTTAGCGTACATACCAAACACTATTTAAATCTAGTAATGTAAAGTGTTAAAAATAAGCGAGATATTTTTAACTGATTACGTAAGAATGAAAAACACAACGTTAAATGTCAGTGTATTTATTAATATTAATTATCGTTAAAAAGCAGCACAAACAGGCGCAGTGTTTAAAGTTTGTTTTAAAAGATTAATAATCATACCCCCAACACCATTAATACCAAAATGACGTAAGAATGATCACGCATCAAAATGCATTATGCGTTGTCACTCATTAGGAATAAGATGGAATGCGTCATTTCCAGTAAAAATAATCGTAATCATATGAAACACAGCAGCATTAAGCTATTATTTTAAATGTAAGAACATGGTCCTTCCCTGATCGATCAACCCAGCGTGGTTCTACCACGTATAAATAATTCCACGTATATATTTCTATATTTTATCTTTTTCTTATATCTACTTTTATGTTTATTAAAAAGCACATAATCAAGATGATCGAATACAGAAGTCGTAAACATTTGAGGTAATTTTATATTACCTCGGTCTCCTCGTCTTATGGCTCTATAAAATCGAAAAATCATACGATTTCGTTAAAAAAAATTGTTCATTATTACGGTGGATTAATGAGAAAAATTACAAGAATTAAAAAAATTTAAATTTATATTGGTTTCAAAGCCTTAAATGTTCATGAAAATGCACTCATTCACGTATAATTGTTGATAACTTTTTTTAAATGATCGAATAAAATTGCTTTTTTTTTTCATAATCTTCACATAAAAAACATTTTAAATTAAAAAATAATAAATATTTGTTTATTAATTTTTATTTGGGTTTTTATTGAGTGTATGATCGAGCGATGCGAGCTCGTGAATTAGGGCATCCTGACTCGGACAGGTTAGGTTAGAAGGAGACGGGAGAGAATTGGGGAGAGAAGCACTACGTCACTCAACGTAGCGCAGGCGACCGTTCTACGGAGCCCCGCTTAGCGGGGCTTCTACTTCTGAGTGATTTATAAAAAATAAACACCATACCTACACATGTACCTAGGTTACGGGTAAGTTAAGGGTACTCTTAATTTGGCCCGTTTTCATATGTCGCCAATTTGGTCGATAAACTTTCGCCTAAGGCCCGATTACCCGATTTTGTGGTTCCAATTTAAATTTGCTTTGTCACTCTATCCTCACTGCAACTTAAATTTGCTTTGTCATCTCCTCCTCATTATTCCTACATGCCATTTGATTAAAATCGATAATAAATATAAAAAAGCACCAATTTTACTTTACTACTTTTACTTACTAGAACCTAGAAATCAATGACTAAATAGGGGTTTTAATACGTTTCGTGCCACGATCTATTATAATTTTCAAATCATTTATCTTTTGAAAATGTTTATAAAATCATAGTATAATAATTGGGATATGACTCGTTATCGTAATAAAATATTACTAATAATATAGTAGATTTTAATGCGGTGGAGATGAGACGTAAGAATATGTGATAAATAGATATAAACATATAACATGTAAACATATATACTATGTAACCTACTTGTACATATTTAATGATTGATTATTAAAAATCAACCATTCAAGTCTTGCTGCGTAACTCATTGTACGTAGACGTTGCTATATATTGCAATCATTGTGCATATACGTATTTGTTCGTGAAAATCTTACCAAACTATAGATCATTGAGTTTAAAAATACACACTGATGAATGTGAGTTTTTACATTCTTTTTATATAGAATCAGTGAATCGGAACCAAATTTAACATTACTCAGGGGAGATGATCCACAAATATACGCTTCGGAAAAGAAAATCTCCAGAAAGCTATTTGAAAGATCTTAAAGAAGAAGTTATTTCCACATTGACGAGCTGTTGTAAAGATCTCAGTAGTAAACTGTCAGCGTTTCGACAGAATATGTTAGTCTCATTCGAACACTTGTCAGTCTTTGGTCACTCTCTGTATTTTTATAGTAATGCTAAGATTATGCTTTTTTAATGATTGTATATGCAAAAATAAAGAGGAAAATATTAAATAGTCAGTATTAACTCGGCAGGCACGGCTTTTACTTCTCAGCATGACTGTAAAATTGCTCCATAATTCTTTAAGAAATTATAGAAGGCCGGTGCCCAACTGTAAGAGCCATATAGGCTTTACTTTAAGATGTTGGTTACAAGCCTCCATAAATCCACAGACTGCTTACACTAAAAAGGATGCCTCACCTTTAATTTTAGAATGCCTATCCCTCTAGACACTTATTGTAACAAAATACAATCACGAGAGCCTAAGTGCTTCTTGAGACATTCCGGTAACGTCCTGTAATTAATGCACGTTACTGTACCGTATGTTATCGTGCGGCAAGAATTACAGAACGTTACCAGATGTGAAAATGTTGATAATTCATAAAGCAAATTTATTCTGTAATTCATTGAAATGTTCTCTTTTAGGATTTGACAAGTTGCCAAAAGACGAAAGAGTTGAAAAGAACCAGAGCCAGGGATTATTGTTTTTTTTTTGTGAGGTCGATGTGCTAAATTTTGCGAGACATCTATTGCGGAATCATTGTACGGAACCCGAAGTACAAATTCGGAATGTTATAAAATGTGTTAAACCTATGAAAAAGAGTAATGTTTATCCACACATCGATTACTTACCATGTGAAAAATGTTTAGGCTTCTACTCTAGGAAACAATTGTGGAAACATAAGAAGACATGTCAACCGTTATCCGATACCGCCAACACTCAAGTTCAGTCTCAAAATTTTATGTTACGCAACCTAAATATTGACAAAAAACTTAAAGATGAGGTATTTCCAAAAATGAGACCTGACAAAATATCACTAGAAGCTAAAAGAGACACGTTAATCTGTGCGTTTGGAGCCCAATATTTAAGGATTCATCGAGAAAAACACTTCGTAAACGTTACATCGCGACAAATGAGAGAATTGGCTAAATTGTTACTAGAATTGAAGACGCTGAAACCGTCACTTAAAAATTTGATGGATTGTTTGAAACCTCAAAACTATGATCTAATTGTTACTGCAACTAAAAAAGTATCAAGTTACAATTGTAAATTAGATCGCTATGGTGCTACAACATATGCCATGAACATCAGCACTAGCCTAAAACAGTGTTGCAACATAGCCATAATGACTACATTAAAATCAGGCAGCAGTGTGGAAACTGCTGCAGTAGAGGCTGATCTAAAGACGCTAATTCGTCTCATCAAGACTAATTGGAAGTTTGATGTTTCAAACCAGGCCTGCAATGACTTAAACTTAAAAAAAAGGAATAAAATTACAATTGTTCCTCTTGCGAAAGACTTAAAACTCCTTAAAAATTATCTTTGCGAAAAATCTAAGTCTGCAGCATCTAAGTTAATAGAATTCGAAACTAGCAATATTGAAGCGTACAACACTCTAACAGAGACAGTTTACTGCCGCGTTCTTCTTCTCAACAGACGTCGGCCTGGTGAACTGCAACGTCTCCCACTCAGCATCTACCAAGAGAGCAGCAATGACAAAAGCGCATATGAGGAATTTGACCGAGCTATTTCAAGTGCGGAAAAAGTGTTGGTAAATAGTTTTAAGCGTATTGTTATACGGGGTAAAAGAGGTCGAGGTGTGCCCGTTCTGTTGACTGGCGAAGTCCAAAGTGACATCAATTTGCTTATCTCTGTGAGACGTAATTACATATGTGAAAAAAAACGACTTTTTGTTTGCAAAACCCGGATCTGAAAGTACATTATGTGGTTATAAGGTCTTGAAAAAGTATGCCACTGCAAGTGGAGCTCGAAATCCTGCAGCTATTACTACGACTAAGCTACGCAAACATTTGGCTACGTTGACTCAGATGTTTAACCTTAAAGAATCAGACATTGAACAACTAGCTAACTTTATGGGGCACACACAGGCTGTCCACAGACAAAACTATAGATTACCCGATGACGTGTATCAGACGGCCAAACTATCAAAACTACTGCTGCTCATGGAGAGTGGCAAAGCAGACTCTTATAGAGGCAAATGTTTGGATGACATAAACTTAGATTTAGAACAAGATTTACTAGAAAACGCACAGGGCCACGATAATTACGACAGTGATGAATTAATAGATTACGATGCTGCATTACCAACTGAAAAATCAAAAGAAACGGAGTTCATAGACGATAACCCTGTCCTTACTCCGCAGTCAACTCTACTTAGCGATGCTACCAATGCTACACATATTAAAACAAAGAAAAAACGAAACCTTGTTCCTTGGACCACAGAACAGAAAAGTATAGTTAAAAAGTTTTTTAGCAAACATATTAAAAATAAACAACCGCCAAAACGCCATGAGTGCGAGGAACTTCGTAGTCAACATACTGAAATTCTGCACAACAAAGACTGGTTAAAAATAAAAGTCTTCGTCCAAAATGCCTATACAAACAACAAATAGCCATATTCGGGAATTCTCCTACGAATTACTGTGGTATTTTTGTTTAGTTTCGTATTTTGTTTTTAAAACATTGCTGGTTGTCAAAATTCCATCTCGCTGTCTTAGTCCAACCTTATCGAATTTAATGATTGATTGGATCCATGAATAATAGACGTAAAAAGAGGATTGTTATAAGTTTTACGTGAATGTTTGTCTGTGTGGCTGCCTGTCTGTGACACCGTAGCTCCTAAAGAGGTGAACCGATTTGGGTGCGGTCTTAAGGTCATAAGCTTTTTTCATAGCTGATGAAGGGATCTCAGTAACTTATATTATCGGTTTACGTCATGCTGCACTATATTTTTACATTTTACATTTATGTACTGTACAGTACTAAACTGCCTATAAGAACTTTTGTTATGTCGTAAGCAACCCATAATTCTGTTTGAGTATAAATTACCTTCTGATTGAGTACAAAAAGATGGAGTTAATTGTAGATATTGACAGGTTTTTAAATAGAAGTTTGTTTTGTTATATTCTGACTAATAACCTAATATGGCCTTGGGAAGAAATTCATTTTAATAAAAGGTTTTACTGGATTAGTTGCCAAAGATTTGTTAATTCCTACAACAGACCGTGGCATAATTTTGCTGACATGAATAACTCCGAAAATATAATTTATTTACTTGATCGTGTTGAGTTTTGGTGCTCTCACTGCGAGTTTACCGTTTATGATCACTATCTTAAGGATGAGTGCGACTATTGTACCTAATCTGTAAGAAATTACTATCTACTTAACTTGATTTTATTTTGTGAAAGGCTATTTTTGTTAAATTATGATATGTTTGGTTTTGCATTTAGTTGAAATACAATTATAATTTTTATTCATATTGGACGCTATATTACTAAAAAACATGCATATCGTGCTTTATTTGGCGTCCGTACTGTGACCTACGCACATTAAGAACTTTCCACGCTTGTTTGCTTGCATTTAAGTTTCCTTAGTTAAACTTGTTTAAGTTGATTAATGTATAGTTGAGTATTTACCCATATACGGCCGTAAGAATATCCTAAAATATTCTCACAAAGTTTTATTTGACATCCATTTCTTTGATATCTGATGTCCAATGTTGTTGATTATTGCGTTTTACTATTTATTTATGTTGATTACTTATTTATTTAGTGCTCAAGGTATATTTTGGTATTTTTTGTCGGTTTATACTGTACTCAGTGCTATTTTTACTTTCAAATTTCTTTACGTGTCCTTAGATTTAGCTACATATAATAATACGGACGTTCGAATATCCTAAAACATTCGTACAGAATGATATTTAACGTCCGTACTTTTGAATTTTGTTATATTTTTATATGTGGACGTCAGATTATCGGTAAAGTTTCATACCGCACGATATTTGACGTCCATATAACCATGAATATATTTATATTTTAATTCCTTGTGTATAAAACACACTTTAATGACCATTGCTTTAATGACATTTTTCGCTATTGTTTTTATATTTCAGTGTAGGGATGCCATGCGGTGTAAAATAGTCACTTTTCTAGAACAGTTTTTTCACATTACACAATTCTAGAATTGATAAAACGCTTAGAACACCTTTCTTATTTCTTTTTTAATTAATGTTGTCGTTTGTAGCGGTTTTTGGGGCACTGTGTGCGTCAAAAGTTTTGCTCTAAATTACTACCTATGTTATTTCAAGTGCCAAATTGTGTTAATTATGTTCCTTATTATAAATCTTTATTCTAAGTATCTACTTCATTGAACAAATGTTTGAAAGAAGATGCTTGTTCAATAAACGTTTTATTTGATCTCAATATTTGTTTCATTTTACATCAGTACGTATTTACAATTAAAGTAAATAATAATATATTCAATCTATATTTTATCACGGCTCGGCAATTTTTGATATTTTTTGTATTGACTCAACGAATAACTAGTTGGTAAATTAATCATGATACATAGTCTATTTTTTTTGCCGTAGACAAAAATTATATTTTCTCAATTTCACATTGCACATTCTGTACATTTATTTCATTATTTTGCACAATATACGAAACTTAAGTGACTAAAATTAAATCTAATCTGAACCAGAATGATAAAAACTATATTATTCGTGCTAAACGAATCAAATATATTTTTAATTTGACGTAAAGATGATTCGACTCGACCGGGGAAGCACTACGTTCTCACAGAATGCCAGAGTAAAATCGCTGCTGTGTTTTGTATGGTGAGTGTAGAGAAATTCAAATTTAAATTCAAGTTCATTTATTCGTTGGCAATATATGGGTTACAATAGGTCTTAACAATTTAACAAAAATACTGCAATATTCTTCCTGCCGGTGTGAAAAGTAATAATTAAATACAAAATATTTTTTATTTTATTATTAAAATGAAAATTTCTGATAATTATATTAACATAAAATAATCTTATTCTTATTACTAACATCATAATAATTCACATTATAATGTGTTAAAATTAAATTATATAGTCAATTAAAATTTTGCGGTTATATTCAATAAATTTTATAGTTCTACATTAAACAAAATATCACCTATAAATAAAATATTACAAAACAGAATAACTAATAAGAGTGGCAACGTCGCACTATACAAAGGAATTGCGATAAGCAGGAGAATAAATTAAAAATTATGTATATTACGGGGATTCTGAATAATTGGTAATATGGAAGGGAGTGGTTTCCCTCCGTCTGGCAATATACGTATATTTGTATATCGACATATACTAAATATTCAAAAAAATGAGTTGAACACTATCTTTGAATTTGTTTAATGGACCAATATACGCTGTCATAGTTTTCAAAAATTGCCTACAAGTGGTGGACGCTATAATAATGCGAAATGAAAGGACGTAGAATCAATATCGTGATGTGTCATCATCATCATCATCATCACAGCCCTTCACAAGTCCACTGCTGAACATAGGCCTCCCCCAAGTAATGCCACAAAGCACGGTCCTGAGCCACCTGCATCCATCGACTTCCTGCATATCTTACCAGGTCGTCACTCCATCTAGTGGGGGGCCGCCCTACACTACGCCTACCGGTACGAGGCTGCCACTCGAGAAACCTTTCTTCCCCATCGGTTATCGGTTCTTCGAGCTATATGGCCGGCCCATTGCCACTTCAGCTTACTAATCCGTTGGGCTATGTCGGTCAATCTGGTTTTACTGCGGATATCCTCATTTCTGAGTCTATCACGCAGAGAAACTCCGAGCATAGCCCTCTCCATAGCTCGCTGAGCGACCTTGAGCGTCCTCATACGGCCAGCAGTGAAGGACCACGTCTCTGATCCGTAAGTCATCACGGGCAACACGCACTGGTTGTACACTTCAGTTTTCAGAGATTGAGGTATACCTGACGAGAAGATATGTCGTAATTTCCCGAACGCTGCCCAGCCGAGTTGAATCCGTCGATTGACCTCTCGGTCGAAGTTGGACTTACCTAGTCGGAATATTTGTCCCAGGTAAACGTACTCGTCAACAACTTCGAGCATAGTGCTCCCAACAACTACCGGCATAGGTGTGACATGGACATTAAACATAATCTTTGTTTTGTCCATGTTCATCTTAAGACCTATCCGTTGGGAGGCACTATTGAGGTCATTGAGCATAGTGCTTAAGTCCTCCAGCGATTCTGCCATAAGGACTATATCGTCGGCAAATCGAAGGTGAGTGATGTACTCGCCATTGATGTTAATACCGTATCCTTTCCAGTCCAGTAGCTTGAAAACGTCTTCCAAAGCAGCGGTGAAGAGTTTCGGGGATATAACGTCACCCTGTCTTACACCTCTCTGCAGTTGGATAGGTTTCGAGCTCTGGTTCTGTACTCGGATAGCCATCGTAGCCCTACTGTACAAACACTTCAGCACCTCGATATACCGACAGTCAACTTGGCACCGCTGAAGGGACTGCAGCACCGCCCAAATTTCGACGGAATCAAAGGCTTTCTCATAGTCCACATACGCCAGGCAAAGTGGCAAATTGTACTCTTCAGTCTTCTGTACAATCTGCCGCAGGGTATGTATGTGGTCTATGGTACTGAAGCCTTTTCGGAAACCGGCTTGTTCGGGAGGCTGGAAGTCGTCGAGTCTGCGTGCGAGACGATTCGTAATGACTCTCGAAAACAGCACGTAGACGCGGCTCAGAAGGGAAATCGGTCTGTAGTTCTTCAAGAGAGCGTTGTCGCCTTTCTTAAAGAACAAGACCACCGCACTTCTGCTCCACGCCTCTGGAGTAGTGCCACCATGGAGGACGGAATTGAAGAGCTTCTGAAGGACTTCAAGTACCGGTGTTCCACCCGCTTTCAGAAGCTCCGCTGTAATTCCATCCTCGCCTGGGGCCCTGCCGTTTTTAAGGTGCTGGAGAGCCATTCTAATCTCGCTTAGACTGACGTCCGGGATATCATCGGAATAGTGTCGGATAAGACTTGCTCTTGGATCGTTACTCATACTTGCGTGTGTCTCCAACGATGATGTGTACAGCTGCCCATACAATCCCTCTCAATCTCACTCAGAATCTCAGGTGTCCCGGAAACGATGCTGCCATACTCAGTCTTCAGCCTTGACAGTTGGCTCTTTCTGGCAAACAGATCTCTGGCAAAGACTTTGGAGCCCTGGTTCCGCTCGATCGCTTCTTCAATACGAGCAGTATTAAAGTTGCGCAAGTCTCGCCGCATGCATTTGGAGATCTTTCTGTTCAGTTGCCTGTATGCTGTCAAATCTGTTGACGATTGCAGCCTCATCTCCCGTCTAACAGCCATGAGATTAAGAGTGTGATCGGAGAGTTTTTGTGTTCTTCTGCGGCGGGTCTTGCAGAACTTAGCTCCGACCGCATGGACAGTTTCCACGAGCTTGTCATTCATATCGTCCACTGCATTGCAATCTTGTAGGCACTGAAAGCGGTTGTGTAACTCGAGCTGAAAGTTTTCGGGATTTTGGATCAGAGCACGAGGGGGGACGGAGCGTTGACTTCATTAGACGAGACCTC